TGTTGAAATCAAGATTGGAAAAATAAAAGCCTATCTCAGTAGTGTATTAAAATAGGTATATGCATTACAGTGCTGTAGTACTAGTAATACTCTGAACTAGCATTGTTTTAGTTACCATATGAGAGTTTCCTGTGTTAAAAACATTATTTACTATACTATATAGAGATATATAAGATAAGAGAAATATGTATATTATCGCTACTTGGAACAGTAACAACTCGAAAGTCCTATGCTACTGCACTGTAATGCATTGGCCTATTTTAATACACTACTAAGATAGGCTTTTCTTTTTCAATCTTGATTTCAGAGGTCAAACAATTTTTTCAATTTTTTTTCAATCATATAGTGGTGTAGACTGGTCTTTTAAGAACATTTTCCTGGAAACACTTTTTGGATACGACGCCCCGTTATGGAGTTATGATTTTTTAAATAACATGATGTCAGAAAATCAGCCCAAAAGCTTATCTTATTTCTGTTGGTTACGCACCGCTGATTCGCAATGTTTGTCATCACTTCAAGATGTCTACCGATTCGTGAAAAAGGCGTATTAGGCCTAGATAGAGGCCTATCTATATTATTATTTTTAGTTTTTTAGTAATGCTAAAGCCTAATGTGGTAGGCCTTTTTTTTATGATGTATCCAGCTGTTGTATGACTACATTATTCTCACGAGTCATTGGCGGCTGTTGTGTATTCGGTGGCCCCTTTGTGGTTTCATACATTTGGTGCAGCGGCCGAAATGAGTGGCCGCTGCCACTCATTTCGGCCGTGTAATGGATGGCGTATCGTTTATCATTGCAAATTTTCTGTTTAAACATTGGAATACATTTGAGCTGATTAGAAAAAAGTGTGGAGTGGTTGTGCCTTGCATCGCTTTTACCAAGCATTCTTCTTGGCATCTGGCAACATGACCAAAGTTCGAGATGGTTGGAGCTTTTCCTCATCGTAGGTTATTGTCAAAATTAAAGTCTTATTGAGTATCTGGCAACTTGTTGAATTGGATTGTGGCATTTTTGAAAGATAGGAAACAGAGAGTGGTCGTTAATGGTGTTAGTTCTGGATGGCAATTGGTGTCTAGCGGGGTTCCCCAAGGAAGTGTCCTTGGACCATTATTATTTTTAGTTTTCATTAATGATTTACCCAAAACTGTTTCTGATTCTTTTATAAAGTTGTTCGTGGACGATACTATTACTGTTTAGAGTTGGGCAATTCCATGACTTTTTTTCAGATTTAGCAAATTTTCAACTTTGAATGTAAACAAGTTTTATATCAAACTAAAGCTTAAAAAATGAATTTTTAGGATGCATTGATGAAACTTTTCTTGTGTGGATGTATAAAAATATATAGGAATTTGAATTACATCATTTTGAAAATATTTAAAAAATATGAAAATGTCATGTTTTTTCAAAGTCTATAGAAACTAACAAACTGCCATTTATGCCAGTCATTTTTATTTTAAATTGGAGAACTTAACTTATTTTATTAGTTTTGTGACAAAAAGAAATATTTATTTACAACAAAATATTAAGGCAGGGCAAAAATATTTCTTAATATTTTTGTCGGTCTGTGACCCAAAAAAACAACATTTTTTAGGTTTATTAAGTCATGCAGCTTTCAACCATTTTGAAATTCATAAAACTATTGAAGCTAATAAAGGCTAACATTCACTGACAAGATTATTTAAATTTTTGGACTTATTTATTCATATTTTTATTACATTAATTTTAGTCGGTCTGTGACCAAACTAGTCACAGACCGACTTGTCGGTCTGTGACCAATGATATTACAATAATCTTTAAGCAAACTTTTTACTGTAAAGTTGGTTATATTCAATAAACAAAATTAAAATGACAAAAGACATGGGCCTGAGAAAGGTTCTAAGGACATATAGTGGTTTATTTGAAAATAACAATGATTTGCTTCATAATTCGAGTTCTCAACAACCACCAAATTGGGTATATTAAACCATGTGACTAAGTTGGAAGCTGAATGGGTAAAATCTTTCAAATACATAAAGCTGTAGTTTATCATTCAGTATAGATCTTGATTTCAACATTTAAATATTGTATAGTTACTATTCTCTATGCCATTAACCAGCGGAGGCGTCAGCGGGGTGGGGGAATTTTCTTTGTCGGAAGGCCGGGACCCCCTGTCTTTCAACGAACGAATAGGTCGTCGGACCAAAAAATTTTTAAAATAATAATTTTCCAATCCAAATATTACGCTATCTTGATTGCCAATCCCTAATATTGTGGTCTAAAAACACATTTAGGGTTAAATTAAGCCATAAAAACTCCCTTCAAGAACCCTAACAGAGATTTTTTTGTTTCGGGGTATTGACCGAGGCTTTGTCGTCGCTTTGGTTCGGACCCCTGCATCAGACACGTCGGACCCCTTGTTGGCAAACATCTGGCGCCACCATTGCCATTAACATCTAAAGAAAAAAACCATGCTATTCATTTCAAAGGCAACCATAGATGCAAAATGGAGCATGTTTGATGGTTGCTGGGAGGATGTGAAAACACTTCCAGATACCCATAATGCATAAAATGCATTTCATAATTTTCTTGGTTTAATATGCCTTTTTTCATTAAGTACTAGAGTATTTATTAACTGGGTCAGATCAATTAACATCCAAGCAATCATGATTTTGCTTAAGACTATTTTCTGTGACGTTTATTAGGTAAATAATACCATTCTTAATATGTTAAATAATCTGATTTTTATTACAAAATAGATTTTTGTTTACTATAAGGAACTAAGTTATGCTTTTTTATATACAATGTTTGGTAACAAGTTTTTAGTATTTAATTTTATATATAAAGTGTTTTCTCCTTATAATGTGCCAGATCCCATCATATACTATCATGCAAATCGATAGGTCGGTCTGTGACCAGACCCAAGGTGGTACCATCTACCCTGCCATCCCCATGATGTAGTTTTACATCACCTTCTCTGTTGATACTAAAACCTCTTATTTATATTTTTACATACTGAATGTGTTACCATAATCTTTTCGTAATATTTTCAATAGAATTGCACAAAGTTTATATTTGTAAAATTTTCTCTTTTTTTTTAAGTCGGTCTGTGACCAAACATATTAATATCAATATTTCACAAATGACTGTGTTTTAATTTTTGTAATATTGTCAATTAAAAGTGTGTGGGAAGGAGTATAAAATTTACTTGGAATTTCAGATTTACTGGTTTATCTGTTATATCTAAACAGTTTTTTACCATTATGAATGCCTTAAAAAGTCGGTCTGTGACCATGGAATTGCCTAGTTGTCAATTGTGAGACTGATCTTGAGATTCTACAAGGGGATGTAAGTGCTTTATACCATTTAACTTAACAAAATGCAAGGTTATGCATTATGGAGTTAAAAATTTTAATTTTAAATATTTTATTGGTACTGGTACATCAAGATGTGAAATTGAATGTGTTAAGGAGGAATCAGATCTTGGTATTCTATTTTATGATAAGTTGGATTTTTCTAAACACTCTGTAAAGGTTGCAAGAGCAGCAAATAGAAGATTGGGTCTGATCAAAAGAGCATTTAAATTTCTTGATGGTAATGGTTTTTTGCGTCTCTATAAGTCAATGATTGGGAAGGAGTATAAAATTTACTTGGAATTTCAGATTTACTGGTTTATCTGTTATATCTAAACAGTTTTTTACCATTATGAATGCCTTAAAAAGTCGGTCTGTGACCATGGAATTGCCTAGTTGTCAATTGTGAGACTGATCTTGAGATTCTACAAGGGGATGTAAGTGCTTTATACCAGTGGTCGGTAGACTGGCAATTGCCATTTAACTTAACAAAATGCAAGAGCTGTAAAGGTTGCAAGAGCAGCAAATAGAAGATTGGGTCTGATCAAAAGAGCATTTAAATTTCTTGATGGTAATGGTTTTTTGCGTCTCTATAAGTCAATGATTCGTCCTGTGATAGAGTATGGTAGTTGTGTCTGGAATTCTAAATATAAAAAAGATTCTGATTTATTAGAGAAGGTCCAACAACGCTCCACTGAGTGACAAAGCTTATGTGGAGAGACTTAAGGCTCTTAATTTGCCAACTTTGTTATTTAGAATAAAATGAGCAGATGTCATTAAGACCTTTAAGATTTTTCAAGGTATTGATCTTTTGGGCCCTGAGCATTTGTTTACAAGATCAGATTATTCTATAACCAGAGGCCATGTATATAAGTTGTATAAACAGAAATTTAAACTTAATGTTAGGAAAAAGGCATTCGTTGTTCGAGTTACTGACGATTGGAACTCTCTTCCTAGTAATGTGGTAAATCAGAGTTTGGTAAATCATTTTAAAGCGGGCTTAGAGAAAGTCTGGTCTGGCCACCACCTTAAATTTTGCCCGTATATGACCGAAGAGGATTCGATAATGATTGAGGGACAAATGAGCTTTGATCTCTAAGTCTCGAAGATTCAAGGTAAATTCAAGGTAAATTTTATTACACCAAGCAATCTCTTTGTAACATTACATTGACCTCAAGCGTACTAGCGTTAGTTCTTTTCACATTATAGGACATGCATACTGTAGCTCAAAAACATTGATCTTTTTGCAACTTGCATTTGCCAGGGTCTAAGTTTCAAATGAGTAAGTAACAATTGGGAAGATAAGTGCCTGAACCAACCACAACTTTGTTAAGTTAGTTATGAAATTAACCAATGAAATATCCTACAGTAACTAATTTGACCTGTTTTTTGACAAATTTTTGTTCAAGGCATTAGTGGCATCTCAAGTATATCAAGTGCGAGTCAGTTTACACCCATGTAGGCTCTAGGCCTGTATGATAATTCTTACATACACGTATCCTATAATATATATTTATCTATCCCTGCCAAAAAGATTCCAATAGAAGGCCACCAAGTCCTTGGGTTATTTCAAGAAATGTAGTTAATCTGTGGAACTTCCAAAAGCAAAATAAAAACATGGTTTTTGCCTGCAAATGTGACGTTAAAAATTTGCAGCCACGATGATTTGCATATTTCATTATATTGCAAAAACTGCTGCTGTAATGAGGTCTGCACTATGCTGTGAGAGAGTTAAAATTGAAATTGCGATATAATCTGAAGTACATTTGCTGATTTTGTGATTGGTCATGTTTAATATTTTTATGATAGACTATAAGTTTATTTTTGGTTTGGTGGTTGAGAGGCAGAGTGTGTCGGCTAACTTCTACCCATGCCAATTCACAGCCACTCTGGCAAACACGTATTAAACCAAATGTCAGTTAACTTGTGCCCAACATTGGCTAACTCCTACCCACGTCTATTTTAAGAAAATCTAATATTATTATGATACTTGCTGTACTATATTTGTCTACAAGAACGAAATCTAATTTTTCTTTCTTAGGTGTATATGGATAATTGTATTGGAATTGTTGAGGGGTCTATGACCCCACCTATCTCCCCACGCCATTTGGAGTGCTGGTATGATGATCTGGTAGATGAATCTTTATTGATACATCATGATGAATTACTAGGTAGGTCTACATGTAATGCTTCCAGACTGTATAGTAAGGCCTGTGCGGGGAATATATCCTTCCCACAAACAATTGTCCCAGTAATCCGTCCGCGCATTTGGCAAAATAACCGCCAATTTCCACACAGATTTTGCCTAAAATTGGGATTTGACGTAATCTCAATACTGTATATATAAACAATGTAATTGGGATTTTGCGCACCAATTTTTCTTTCAATTTTCCATGCAAATTTAAGCTGGCTTTTGAGCTGTCATCCACGCAATTAAATATTTTTAGATTATGGTAATGCTCTTTAAACAGAGGCAGATTCAAGGTGGAGCCCATCGGCATTTACCTTCAGAATTAAACCATTGGAAAAAAACAATAGAGTATCAAAAGCTTGCAAGTATCATGAATTTAATTGAATTTTAACTTTCTGAAAAATACTCTGGGAGTGTGTTCCAATTTTCAGGAGACTCCTGTGACTTGCTGTTGATTTGGAGTCCCTTTTTTGACAGTGGTGAATGATACTAGGGTGCTACAGTTGTGTGAATTAAGAGAGTATAAATTTGACATTTAGATCTTTTCACACAGAATACTTCAACCAAAATATTGGGCTCTCGGTCCTCTCTGAAGTGGGCTATAGATACATGTGCTTGATTTGCCGGTAGACATTACACGGTGTGTACAAAAAACAGTTGCTGGGAACGAGTTTATATTTTGTTCTCCTTGCATTATTTTACAGTAGGTGATGTTGCACCATCCTGTATATTTACTGATTGCAGCGATGCAGATTCAGCATACAACAGTGAATGGAAAGCTTGTAATACTGGGCACCTTCATTGTCAAGTTCTTGCAAAGTAAGTTTGTAATTAGAATGAATCCATATTTGCGCACTTGTTTTGAAAGTCTACATATATGCATAAATTGATAATCTAATGATGATGATGATGAAGAGATGATGCAGTGATTATAATAGCAATGATCATGAGTATGATGTTAGAATGTGATGGTAAGGCCAAAAAAAAAAAAAAATCGTGTGTTGGCCACATTTTGGTAAAAAAAAATAATGGGTTTTTTTTAACATCAATATCGTGTTTATGCCTAAAAAGGAGAAAACGCACAAAAATACAGCAAAGACCATTTTTAAATCGACATTGAAGAGCAAACGGTCCCATTTCAGATGCATGGCCTACCGTCGCAAGATAGGCACATTCTAGCCTTTTTAGCTCATGAAAAACATATTTTTCGTTTGTAGCCAAAAAGCGGGCGTGGCCAACAAAATAATTTTTTATTTGGCCTACAAGTAATGGTGGTGTTTGTTAGTGATGATGAAGATATAATGGTAATGAGGTTGAAAATATTAGATAAATAATGACAGTGTTTATAAAAGTTATGAGGATGATGGTGTTGAGGATAATAGAGATGAGGTTGGCGGTGTGGATAATGAGATGTACAGTTGTAATGAGGTTGGCAGTGTTGATAGTGATGACTTTGATGATAGTAAGGCTAATACCCATATACTAAACAAGAGAATAATTCAATTATGTAGTTTCTAACAATATCTTAGCAGGGCATCTGATGTTTTTGAAATTGAATATTATAATTATGATGTACAGTAATATACAGTTTGATAACAATTACTATTATGCAATATTTTGCATGATTCCCAGAATTCTGAGCAGTTTGGATCCACACCCAAGTCTGTTTCAAGACACAAAGTGCAAGCTTTTTGGAAGTCACTTTGTCACTTCCTCTGGTTTGCTGGATTCTACATGTCTCATTTTCTCCCTCGCAAAGTAAGTATGTATTCAGTTTTTTTCCAATTTTTTGCCTCATTGTTATTTATTTTACTAATATAACAATTTAATATTAAATTTATTATTATTTGTATTGTAAGGAAAATATAGATTTCTTAAAACAATGATGGCTAGATATCTTTATGAAAAAAAATGATGTAATGTTGCATCCATCTCTTCTCCAATTAAATTTAAAAATCTCTTCTGCAATTTTTCCAGTATTTTTGATAAGTATTTGAAAAAAACGTACTGTATGCCCACCCTACATCGAGATTCGAACCCAAGACCTTCCAATTACCATTCAGATACTCTACCAACTGATCCATGAGGCCAAGTGCTACACACCCTTGGATTGATAGTCCAGTATTTTTGTGCTGCTAAAAGCAATTATTGTTTTAAAATCATGTATATTTAATTTCATCAATATAATATCATTTTTGAACTTTTTTTTTGTTGGTAATTTGCTGTATGTACATACCTATATGATTTACCATGACATTGTCATTTATAGGCAGAAGATAGGAAAACTTAAATTATCCTTGGAGATGTTGGCACACAAAACTTCAACAGGTATTTTTTTTTTTTATGACTTTGTAACAGCATGTCTGATTTGTCAATAGACTGGGTCAGTTTCCAAAAACATGACTTCCAAAGGCAAATTGTGTTAATTTATGGCATACAAGCTTTTTTGTGGTTTTGAGGGTTGCTGAATACAAATCTGCTGTATGCCAAGCTCAAAAATGACCGGAAAGGCCTCCAAATCCAATATGCCCACAAAATTTTAGTATTTGCCATAATACTTCACAATATCCTACATAGGACAATAGTTTTGAGTGGTGTTTTTTATTCTGTGATTTGAGATGTTAGGGCACATGGTAATATCATCAAAAGTCAATTTCAGCCATTAGTGGTTGTCGAGATCCAAGATGGCTGCTAAAATGGCCGCCAAACTTTAATATTAACCGTTTACTTCCTTAATATTCCATAGAACAGTGGCTTTTTTTAGTCTGTGATTTGAGATATTATTTTTAGGAGCATACAGTTGCACCACCAAAAGTCAAATTCAGCCACATGCAAAATTCCAAGATGGCCACCAAAATGGCCGCCAAATTTTTAAATTTAAAATAACTTCCATAATATTCCACATTGGACAACAGTTATGGTTTGTGGGGGTATGTCATCAGAAATTACTACGATGTGATTTTGCGTCAGGAAAATATCATAGGAGTGATGTTTTGCCCTACCTGACGTGATATCGTACCGAATATGCAGTACTTTTAAGGGTAATTTAAAATCCCAGACCCAGACTTAAATATCTCAAAAAGTGTCAATGGCTTAAAATGACACTACTTAGAATAGTTTGTCATGTTTCTATGAAGAATGTTTTAGATTTTGGTGACCATCCGGAGTAGGGTTTTGATATGAGGACCCTTTAACGGAAAACGTCCCAGACCAGATATTTCAAAAAATAATAACTGATATGTATAACAATTTCAAAAAAGTTTAACCAAGGTACAAAGAAGAAATTATCATGACGATCCAAATTGGGGTGGGCATTTGAGGGACAAAAGATCCCAGACCTAAATATCTAAATAATGGATCAATGGATAAAATATGTATATATATATATATATATATATATATATATATATTGTATGTATGTGTATTGTATGTATGTGTATTGTAGTGCATATTTATATATATTGGAACATGTACATGGTGTAGGCCTATGTATATTGATATTTTTATACTGTATATATTACTCTTTTTTGCAATTAACCTAAATTTTAAGAAGTCTCATTTTTAATTTCTTTTGTTTTTTTCCTAAATACTATTATTATTATTATTATTATTATTATCATATCATAAATTTTATATTGCTGTTTCTTTATGGATGGATTAACAAGCTTGTGAGCTACAGAGATGTCTCCTTAGATTTACACAGTTTTTTTCCGTATGTGAGTTTTGGTTTTTTAGGTTTATTTTAATGTATGCACAAATTGTATTGTTATTTTTATAAAAGGCTAATAAAGAGTGAATGGATGAATGAAAGAAGGTGATCATTCAAAACTTTATGGTAAAGAATTTACATAATTAATGTATTTGCCATTAAGCCTAGTTTTAGGTGTTCCACGTATCACAAATCTGTAACTCTCTTTATAGTGGCAGATAGTCACATGGTCTATTCTAAAAGGATCTTGACCACTGACTCCAATAAATTTCCATAGAATTCGTTAAATTAATAAAATAATTGATCAAAGTAATGGTAATAGTTCAAATAAACTGTTTTCGCTTTACCTTGAATTTGAAATAACAATTTTAGAATTGTATGCGTCTTCCTTTCAATAAGTTTAAGAATCAACACACCTCCTTTGATTGATTCCTGATCAACCATACATTGCTACAAATCAAAATGAAAAGCTCAACAGTGTACATTGTACATCGTTGGGCTAACATTAACATTTGTTTACCGTCAGATTCGGACATCTCTGACTCCGCTAGCTTGAAGCACACCTGTGTTGTATTCTTACAGTATTTGAAAGTATTTATTCATAGGTAAGCTTCAATATTTATTTTTTCATCATTTGCAAACATGTGTGAAGTAAACATGTAAATGATTTTGATTACTTTACTGCTCCATTTTTTTGCATTTTTAATTAAGGCTCTGTGACACAATATCCACATACTGTAGGCCTTGAGAAAAATGTTATTTAAATAAAATGCTTCCAATAATAATTGTGGCTCTGGTTGCCCCCAATCTTAAGATATATGAGTTCAGAATTTTGCAACCTCAGATAACAGCTTTTTGTGGGTAATCTTGTCAAGTGTTATTTGTTATAATTATCATTCATATTTGGATTTTTTTTGTTGACTATCTGCAGTTGTTCATGCATTTCATTTAAATCTGAACTCTTAATCAGCTTTAGAGTCCTAATGAAAAAAAAAATGTAATGATGATAATGATACAGAAATTATGATATTCTAGTGGAGATAGAAAGGTGAAGATTATTATATTATTTTTTTTTATTTTATAATGATTTTTTTTCCATTTTATTTCATTTCATTTCATTTTTTTTTATTTCGTCCAAAAAACATTAAAAATTTTAATACAAAACATGATAACCGAGAGCACAGAAAACAACACTAAGTTGGCTGGACAGGATTGCCAAAAAGTGAACTAAATCACTGTGAACTGTCACTCTCCAATGCCAATAAGAACAAAAATTGAATTAGCATAAAATATTTTTTTTTTTAATGGACTAATCAATAAAATTTAAATTTAAAAATATATATGTACAAAATCAACAGTGAAATCAGTCAAAATACAATAAAATTGTATTTCGTCACTTGATACAAAATACAATTTTCAAAAACACAAAGCAAGACAATTCAAAGATATTTTCAGGAGATGGACTGGATTTTCAATAGCAAAATTAATTACTTTCTATGTTATGGTGATGACATTGACAATGTTTACAACCAAATCATCCAACAATAATCAAAATGATAATAACAATAACATAGCATGTGCACGTGTTACTGTTTTAAATTTTAATTTGTAAGGCATTACAAGTTTGATGAAACATCAGGATGCAGGTACAACCAAAGACTCAACAACTTGCATCCTATTTTACTACAAGAGATGGAGGGCCTGTCAAATTACCTAGGCAAGGTTGCTGATCTTCCATCTAATGTTCTCTCCCAGTACATTTCATCAGGACTAAAGAAGGTATGTGTATCAGAGACATGATCAAATGCAATAATTATAATTATGTTCCATTCAAAATCTGTGACCCGATTAACAACTTGTTATTCTTTTACCTATATATTTGTATAGCTCATTCCCCTTTCCCTCTCTAAGTTTTTTTTTTGTAAATTATAAAAAAAAATGGAGAAAGAAAATTATACTCTAATTAGATTTGAGAGTACCATGGTCATCTACAGGTGCCATAATCATAACTCTTCTTACCTCAGTCCCACCATGTCTAGACCCTTCATATGCAAAAGTTGTTCCCTGGGCCCCTCCTTTTCGAATTCCGTGATCTGCCACTACTTTTGATCATGCTTTTATGTTGAGGCAATTGTCAAATATTAATATAACAATAACATTTTGTTTTTGTGGTGCTTGTCAGTTTTATACTTCCTATCATGTTGCAGTATAAATAATCTCTATTTGACTATTAACTAATTTATGGTTGATGACTTGATTAAATACAAAAGCAATACTTTTTTTTTTGCAGCAAAGTATTGCTTACTTGGTCTTACACATTGTCTTGAATGTCAGATGGGGTTTGATAGAATCCTTACACATGCTTTACAGCAAAACAAAAGGTAGATTTCTATTTCAAGATTCTAAAGATACTAAAATGCTGTATATTTTATATTGCTTATAACCTTTAATAGAGTACACATCAATAATATTATTAATTATATTTAACAATAATATTTATACTCCTATTTCTATTGTTTACTTAGTATGTTTAAATTGATTATTTTGTTTTAAGTACTTTATTTGAATGAATGGATATAAATTGTATGGTACTTGTACTTGGTACTTGGTTTGTTCCCTCCTGAATCTTCCACAAGGGAAATTAACAGGAAGTCTCAGGAAGTGGTTTATTTGTTTTAATTTAATGATACTACATTATGGCCGTATTTGACTGGTCATTCTTCGTTGAACCACGCCCACCTGCGCAGCGGTAAAATCCTACTTAACGAAGACGACCAGTCGAATAGAACACTTATAAATACTCGACAAAACAAAATGGCTGCATAGTTACCGCGATACACGCTGCGTAATCAAGGCTGCTTCATTTTGTGGCAGTATGGGTTTTTAGTAAAAAAAATATTTTCATCCAGTTTTTTAATTCTGTTGGCCTACAATTATTTTTTGACTTCATGTGGGTAAATATTATAATTTTTATTTTCTGAAATTTAATCTAAATTATATTAACACAAATGTTGTTTCTAAACTCACCAATCGAATATGTTTGTTTTGGTCACGTGAATAACTTAACACTGATTAACGCACTCTGGGTTTACGTTAATTTTTGTTGTCAACAAAGTCTATTTTTCGAACCAGTCAAATGAAAATAATACTCAACGAAAATTCGTAGTCAACAAAATGAACTAGTTGAATATGCCAAATGTATGTTAGTATACACTAAATTAATGAGGTAAGTGTAATGCAATTATTGTACATTTTAGTTAATTTCTGGCTGTAACATACTTGGTAATAATAATCTATTTTGTTTTTAACTTTCTCAACTCTTCATTTCATTTTGGTGTAATAGCAACCATAGCTTGATATTAAGTCCACCCTAATTTTTCTTATAATTTTCAGGCACAATAGCGGAGAATGATGTCAACAACCTTTTAACGGCAGAAGTCAACATATTCATAAATGATATTGTATATATTGCAAGATTGCGATTCAACTCAGTATGTGAATTAAAAATAAATTTCTAACTTTATAATTTATGCTAATATATGTGTATGTGTATAATTTATGTAAACTTATTTGTATACCTGTAATCAATTCATTACTATAAGTTGGTGACAGTCAATCTATTGTTACTTCTTTTGCTGTTCCATGATTGGATTACATTTATTCAGTGTGAACACTAAGGATAACCCAAAGTCCAAAGACTCATATGCATTGAGGTCTTTCCGCTGGTGATTGGGCAGTACACCGGTAGTCAATCACTCTCTTTTGCACATAAGCCATATTGCACATGATACCAATGGCTTAAAAAATCTCATCCAAAAGACTGCACATTTTTATACTTGCATTTCAGCCAGATATCTGAAATGCAAGGAGAGCAGCGGATTGCATTAATTCGGGTACAAGAGGATAAAACAGTAAATCTCTTTTCTTGTAGATTTCAAGAAAGGACTTGAAGAATGTGTCACCTTTTCCTTGTCCGTGTTTGCAAGAGTTTGTCATTATGCTTATTCATTTCCTAGATCAACGTCAATCTAAGTTTGGGACAGAAGTAAGTACAGTACTGGTAAAACAGCATATATTACCTTGTTAATTTCTATTGCTTTTTTTCTTTGCTTTTGAACTTGGATACCAGGATGCAACTGCCTTCCTGTATTCTCTTGGTATGCAAGTATGTTCCTGTGAAAGCTTTTGGTACTATTACTAATTGTAATTGGTTAATCTTATTTTTCAGTCATTTTGGTTTATGTTTCATGCAGCACTTGAAGCAAATGCTGGGTTAAATAAAAAAGGTATTTTTCGGGTTAAATGATTTTTTTTTCCCGTGATATTTTATGTTCTTATTAATATCATTACTATAATCATTGTATAACCAACATTAGTATCAACTTAATAAGACTATAAAAGTGCGAAAGTATAATACATACTCCAAGTATTGAAATGCACGCCATTGTGTTGGGATTCAATATTAATTATGTCATCATCATTGTCGAAATATTAAATCCCAACACAATGATGTGTTTTCAATACTTGGAGTATGTATTATACTTACTATAAAAGTGCCTTCTTTATGTAGATACAATGAACAAGATCTATTAACAAAATCATGAAAACTTGCCCATAAAAATGTTGACCTGTGTTGTGTTCTGAATGCCTAACATTTGACTTAATAGATTTGTGGACTGAAAAAGCTGTGGATCATAATACTTTTATCATTAACATATTGTTTTTAATTTTTTTTTTTTTTTTTTTAGGGAATATAGACCTATGTTGGTGGCTACTGATCCACATATCACCACTGTACAAGTACAATCAAAATGGTGAACTTCAAAAATCCTCTGTAAGTTTTTATAGTCTGAATGAATATAAATTTTTAGTTAAATATAATCAATTTGTAAACCAGCTGGAACCTGGTTTCCCACAGGCTGTACAATGCAGACGCATGATGCAGGACAGGAAATTTCTGTAATGAATTTGTTCGTTCAAACCGGTCACTCACTGCATCGTACGACAGTCAGACAGCCGACGGTCAGACAAAATCAACTCTGCTCCTTTTGAGCACTAGACGTTGGGACATCGTCTGCTTATTCTCAGTAGCAGTTTAAATGGATCGTCATTAAAAACGATCCATTTTGCGTACTTTGAAGAATCGCATCAGGTGGCGACCGTCGGATGCAATGAATGCCGGGCTTAATTCATACTGAACTGACTTCTAGAGATGTACACTAGATTAGAATGTAAACTTTTATACTTTCTTATTGTTCATTTGCACTGACCATTAATGTCCATATAATTCTTCAAAAAGAAAGAAAACTTTACACTATGATTAAAGTAGAGAATAACCATTATTTGAAAATAACAGTTTCATATTTTAATTTGATTCAATTATGTTCTGTACAATATTTACTTAAATTGCAGACTTGTGTTCGCAGTAATTGGCTGATGGTTGGAGACCTTCTCAAGATGACATTTTCTCAAGTAAGGCCCAGTCCAGACTATCACGTTTTATTTAACAAAACATGTGACATGCCTAAATATGGTCGTGATGATTTCATTTCTAGTCCCATTACCTTGATTGGCTCTTAGCCTTGTTTTGGGCAATTTCCCATACAAAAGAAATAATTAAACTAAGCCAACAAAAAAATTTTAAAATTGCTATTACAAAAGATATAAAAATCAGAATTAACCGAAAATGTTTGCGGTGTTATACTAAATATATATTCAGTTAAACTTGCCTAAGTTTACTGTGCCTAAGTCGAATAATTTTTAAGTCGATCTTATTTTACATGCCAAACTACTGAGTTTTCTATTAATTAACAAACTGTAAGTCAAATTTTATCTAAGTCGAACAATACTTCAATGGCATTTTGGATTCGACTAATAGGCAAGTTCAACTGTATTATTACTGAAAATAGAATTTTTTTTAACAGTGTTATAGTACTGAATATATATATTAAGGGACATCTGTTGCACTTACTGTTTACTTTTTTTTGTTATTGTTGCTAGGAGTTAGGGCTTGATGAAGAGAGTATCCGAGTCCATCTGCAGTGCTGTCTGTCCCTGTGTCATGTTTGGGAGCCAAGCTCAAAGACATTAGCTAAACAAAAGGTCGGATTTAAATGATTCTTTTACCATTTTATAGCTCTCATTTTACTGTTTAACATTGTATTAATAACTAATTTTGATTTTTGCGACGAGTCACTGGTTTGACTTGTCTTTGCCACATATGAAAAAGTAAATTTTCATTATTTGGCCACTGATTCTGGTTTTTGAATGGTAAGCCTGATATGTGCTATGCATCATTTAGATAGAGATTTGCAGTAAGAGAAATTATATGAAGTGATATGAGCACTAATCAGATGGCTGTCTGTTTTCATTACGTTATATAGGACATCTTCATCTATAGTTGACGCAGTACAAAGGGAAATGCGGGATATTGTACGCGTCTGTTTCTTGGAGTCTGGTCGAAGCATTGCCCATCGTTGTAGCCAGCTGTTTATGCTGTGTATAGGGTAAGCACCTACTGTTATTGCTGCTGTTGGTATTATAATAGTTGTTGTTGTTAGTACAGTCGACCTTGCCTAAGACGAATAATTTCTAAGTTCTAAGATCTAATTTTACATGCCAAATTGTTGTGTTTTCTATTAATTAACAATCTGTAAGTCGAATTTTATCTAAGTCGAACAATACTTCAATGGCATTTTGGATTCGACTAATAGGCAAGTTCAACTGTATTAAGAATTGGAATGAAAATAATGTTGTTATAGTATGTATATTAAGGGGCATCTGTTGCACTTACTGTTTACTTTTTTTTGTTATTGTTGCTAGGAGTTAGGGCTTGATGAAGAATGTATCCGAGTCCATCTGCAGTGCTGTTTGTCCCTGTGTCATGTTTGGGAGCCAAGCTCAAAGACATTAGCTACCTTATGGCAGTACAGTCACAAGAGAATGGTAAGCAAACTAATATTTCTAATTTATGTAATTAAAATTTTATCCAGATATGAATGTCATCATGGGGTGCAACACATACATAATTAATGAGTAATCATAATTTTAATAAATGTTTATTTGGCAAAAATTACTATTGCTATTGTACTTTCAACACCCCTAAAAAATAATAGAACTGTCTGGCCCAGTGTACCTTATATCAACTCAGCTCCAGATGTATTCACATGAAAAAAATTAATTAAATCATTCTGTTCCGTTTTGAATAAATGCTATCAATCATGAATTGGGCCAACTTTTTTATTTCTATTTTTATGTAACACAAGATCAGAGACATACGCAAACAGAACCATGAAATGAAAAGGCAGGAGATAATTCTTACACTTTTTTTTTGTTTAAACTGAGATCTTCTGGGTTTACACTTTTGTCATGTACACAGGATGAATAGATCTAAAGCTAAAGGATAAAACAATTCTGATTATTTAATTAATTTTTTTAGTGGCTAAAATGTGCCTTGAGAGGGTTTTCACTGTGGAAGGCACTACAGTATAAAAATACATAACCATTGACCATTTAATCAATGACCAAAGTGAAAATCTGCATGGACAATGTTTCCAACCAGAGATCATGTGTGAAACTTTAATTTCTTAACATTGCACCACCAAACTTGTGGAAGCGGTTTGGCGCAGCAGGGACGGTTTCATTTCCCACTGTCAAGGTCAGGGTTGGGGTTTCAATCCCTGGCTGTGCATTTTGCTTCTGTCCATTTCTTTTATCCACCCAGGAGTATAAATTGGTACCTGGTGGGGTTGCCTGCTCCTGCACTGATTTCCAACAGCAACACTTAAAGCATGTAGAACCAATGACCAGGAAAAGAACTGCGCTTTGTAACCTCAAGGAAGAGGCGCATTATAAATGCCCAATACCAGTACCAATAACTCTCAACACTTTGCAATTTGCATTTCAACCAATATTATAGAACAAATAATAGATAATATAAGTTAATGACAAAATCAGTTTAAGAAAAACCTAAATATCCAAAATTTATTATTTCAGAATCAAGCATTACTTAAGACAGAAAGATCTCTTGATGGTTTAGCATCAATAAGGTAAATATATTTTGCTCTGTAAATTTTATTCCATTATAAGTTTTGTATATATTTGTTATGTTTGTATAATCTTAACATTGTCATTAATTCTGCAATATGTAAAATAAATCTAGTTTAGTTTAATAGTCTTTCACAGAGTCAAACTCACTTAGCATAGTCTCTATTACATTCTAAAAATATTATTAGCGTGAAAATCATGTTTTTGATTATAATTTTCCTTTTTTCATCTATAGTAAATCAGCACTGGGGTGGTTTGATCAAACTAAACAAAGGGCAGCTGACCACACAGCCAGGTAAGCCATTTATGTAGCATAATGACCAATTACTGTTTGAATATCCGAATTGATATGAAAATATGAATCACTAAATCTTTTTGTGTGTTTGCCATATTGCAGTTAGAACAGACAAATACATCCATCAATACGATTTACAAAATGACATATTTAATTAGAAAGAAACCATATTAATGAATAAGACATCTTGATTATTATTTTTCTCCCCATTTTTTTGTTTATAGTCAAGACTCGGATAACAGTTTTCATCTTTTCCTGCGAATCATTGCTGTCCAGTTTGGGAAAATGGAAGGCACAGAAAAGTTGCAAGGATGGAAGCAACTCAAAGGAAGGTAAGGAGATACATAAGAACAAATCTATGTTTAAATAATTTAAAATGATCTCCATGCTGGCTATGTTCACACACGGCAGCTACCGGTTAGCAGGATCTGGATCCTGCTAACTGTTAGCTGCCGTGTATTAATACAAGACAATCCCCTATCCAGATACCAAGAAAATGATGATCGAATCACTAGCCAATAGGAAACTGGACATTGGAAACGTGTATGTGTGATTGGTTGATGATAGAAACTCGCTCAATTTGCTAACTAATAGCGCTCGCTAACCTTTAACGTATCCGGATGCTTGTAACAGTTAGTGTTAACCGATGAGGCATTCACACACAGGTGCTAACAGTTAGCTCCTGATCTGGATACTTGGGCTCTTGTGTGAACCTGACTATAAAGTATGCGATGTCAGTATTTGTCAGAGAAACATTCATGAGTCAGAGAATCATGACTTCTATTTAGGATTGGGCATTTATTCTGTGTGATTTTTCTGTAGTTAATTTGTTATTCTTGATTACATTTTATTTGTTTTCCTCAAGGTTGTATTCCAAGTTCCATAGTCGTAGTATGCAGGAGCTCAATAACAATGGTTTGAGCCATTTCATCAGTCTTTTTCTGGTTTTAGCACAAACTGTGGATTTATCAGATGCGGTATGTATACAATTTAAATCTGATTGTTAAGTTTATTTCGTAAATATTTACCTGGGTCAACCGACTAATTGCCATTGTTGCTTTAAGAACACCTTGCAACAAAAGTGGAACTGTCAAAATATCCCAGCCCCTGACTTCGCCCACGTCCAAGCATGCTCCTCATTCTAGCATCATCCATCAACGAGTGATGACCACAGCTACGGGTTGGTTAGAGTAGAAATCCAATGAGTGTAGTGGACCATAGCTTCTTTTTTTGATTCAGTGTCACCTTTAGAATTGGGATATAGCTTGCATGTAAACCTTTGGTAAAATGATTAAAGTGTTTACAATCACTTTAGATAGTTTTCATCATAAATTGTGTACATGTTTGTGTGCATCTCTCAGCGTTCTCTTTGACCTTCCGATCCATTTTTATGCCGATTCCTGATTTAAGTGCTGTAATTACTTACTAGGCTGTCAGATGAGGGTCTGTAGATTTAAAAAATATAGAATAATATCCTTTTTTGTGGTCTAAAATGATCATTAAATGATTATTAATATCTTTTTATTGTTTAGAGTCACAAGATGTTGGATCTATTGGATATGCTGTCAACAAATTCAATATCTCAGAGCAAGCAACTTCTTATTTGGAAAGGTGAAGCAAAAATGTGCATTTATTTTATATTGTGTTGTATTTATAAAGATACTGTATAATACAGTGATAACATGTGAATACAAACTTTTTAAAAATTTCATTTGCATGATCTACAGTACCAATTCTAGTATTCACAGTTCAGGGGGTACTGTAAACATATTTTACTTAATATCGTGCTTATAACGGTATACATAATTGGTTTGAATATGTAGTATACCTTCTTGATTCCACACTGATATTATGTGTAGCTGTTTTTGTATTGCTTTCATTTCTGTTTTTCATAGGCTTGTTCACATTATGTCTAGTGCATCAGGAAAAGCAGAAGGATATATCATTTATCACTGAGAAACTCGTATCAGCTTTTGACAACGTTTGCAGGTGAAGATGTCTTTAAATTTTAGTACTGTAATACTAAAGAGTAATGTAAAATAGAATAAGAACAATAATTAGTTTATAGAATGTCCCAAAAACAAGATCTTTTTTCTAATCAACAGTGAGTTTTGCCACAAAGATAATGATCTTAGTCAGCACCATCACTTGTGGACACTAATAACCTTATACACAGATGCGACTCAAGATGTATTTGACAACAGCAGCAACAACTTGTGTCTATCAGAAGAAAAGCTAATAGGTTTGTAAACTGTCATTTATTACATGTTCATTGCATCAGCTTGACTGTTGGCTAACAAATTCATTCATGCTGTATGCAAGTGCTCGCTGGACAATAGCAGTCTGGTTCAAATAATTCATCATGCGAAACGTCATATTCCATTCTTAAGAATTGGTTTTGGCTGTTGATACAGTGTGACTCAGGGATTGGTCAGTGGCGGCGCCATATGTCCAAGGTCCACACTTAAATCAGGGTGGTTCAGGTTTTCCTTAAAAGGTGTCTCTGTCCTCCTGAATCCCTGCTGGTGGTGCCACCTGGCTTAAGAACCTGGAGGCTGCACATATTTCATTTTACATTTCATGATTGTGTTACTAATGGTAGCCAGTTGTGTAATGATAAGTGTTCTGATATCTTGTCTACAAAACAAGAAATTTGTCTTTCAGTATGTTAAGCTTTTTAGCCTGTAATTTTCTGACTTTTTTTTCTTTAGGCTCAGGATTTTGTCATCTCTTCCCAGCATGTAATGAGTCTGAATTGAGGACCATGCTTCAGTTCACATTAAACCTGATGGCATGTCAAAGGTCAGATTTAAATTTATATAACTAATCTGAATATTTATGAATGCATGCATCATTATCATCTTATTGTCTTCATTTTCAGATTTATCATCATCAACATTACATTTATACATACTATAATAGTGACATTTTCAGAAAGTTGTTAAGATTAATTTATATTTCAATAATTAACGACATAATTAAATATATTGTTTTTTTTTTTACATGCAGAAATGTATATAGACGGTTATGTCAGTCAGCTGGGAGTAACTTACTAACACAAGAACAACCAAAGATAAACTTGCTGCAACAACAAGCAGGTAAAACAACTTTTCAAACCGTAAGCAGAGTGTCTCTTTGCAAGCTTTGTGCATTTGAAATGTAATTATATTTTTTCAAAACAAGTAGTAGTAGTCATTTTTGAGTCATATTGTATGTTTCATTGAGTTTATACTATGGAGAGAGAGATTGTAGTGACCATGTATGAAGAATAGGTTGTCTTTGGGCGAGTCGAGATGCAAAGTGGTAAAGCAGGGGTGGCGCTTACTACAGCTTTAAAAAATCTTCCCCAGGGGTCAGTTGGTAGAACCATGTCTTCTCAGATAAGGACTTAACAAAAGGGAGGGTCAGTATATACATTCGGGTGGTGTGCACTGAAAAGAATCCATTGCATCTTTTGGAAGAGTAGGGGCCATGCGGATTACGCTGATGCTATGGTTCATTGCAGCCACCTGTCGTGGAATGAAGTTAACTATGCACCTCTCTACGGCTGCTACAGTAGTCACGGACCATGGCCGTGTGAGTTATGGGTTATTCTCCTACCTTTACTATAAGATGTATTGTGAACAAATCATTTTTCTAATTCATTTCTATAAACTAAAGAATTTTAAGATAAATTTTTGTAAAAATTGGTTGCCACTTGTTACTTCATTGTAGTTAATGTATACTTAAGTAATTGTATGTCTGATTTAGATTTAGTTCAACGACTGTGGACCAATTTCTTTCCGTTTGTGAAGTCAACCTCGGCAAATCCTAAACCAAGTTGTTTGCTTGCTGATGTTGCTGCCAGTTTCACCATGCTAGCATCAGATATGTAAGTAATGTAGCGCTTTCAGGTTGATATGTTGAAACTAAATTTACTTCGATCTGTACATTTTTGATTTTTAAATATTTTTGACAATATCCTATTCCACAGGGAAGAGAATTCAACAGAACCACCAGAAAAAGTGTTGGATATATTCAATTATTTTGGTGTATCGGACACAACTGTACATTCAAGGTTGGTTTTCTTTTTTAATTAGTCAATGGATCAGCCGATCAATAATTCCATTTGTTAATCCTAGCAATAAACCAATAAATCAATATTTGTATATATATATATTTATTAATAAGTTAATTAGATTTCATATTTTAGAAAAAGATGCTGATAATTTTTTATTTGTTAATGTATTTGCAGTTTAACACAATATTGTCTCTTTATTCATTCCATATTTTTTTAAATAAATGTATATTTATCATACAATTTAACTTTCTAAATATAGAAAATGTTTTCAAATTTGGTTTTTCAGTAAAAAAAATAGTTTTAGCATAAATTCATTCTCCTACAGTACATGTGTGAAAAATAAAAAACAAAATAAATAAAGTATTGTTTGAAGGTTTCCATGGCGAAGTAATAACACATGTTGAAGCTTGCGGTACACCAGGTAGGTAGTTCTGAAAAGAACTGTTGTATTGAGAAAGTCTCGACGTTTCGATTGAGTTGCGTCAATCGTCTTCAGGAGAATAATATCTGTAAAATATATAAAATAAATAATTAATTAAAAAATGTGAACATTCTGAGTTTATGGAAGCCTGTGATTGGATGAATGTTCATATATAGGTATATAACCCAGAGAGAGGAAAAAAGGATGCAAGTTGTGTATGCTTGTCTACCTGAAACTAAGGGTATATGAGTGTAACTGATTTTCGTCAAAATTTCTAAAATGTAATTAATTTTTGTCATTTCTTGCTAGTATCTCAATGCGCTACCTTTGTCATATTTTACCAAATGCTGCTCTCATGCAAAAAATAGAGAATCACCATGGCACAGGCTACGAAGCTGCTGTCATTCATGCTTGGGTCAGGTGCTCAATCTTGAGCAATCAGAAGGCAGATGAGCAACAGGAATTCACTCGGCTGATATACAAAATTCCAAGCATGGCTGCCATGGTGGAAGACAGAGTAAGATTTTCATTTAGTTTTAGTTTATAATTGTTTGTTGGGATCTCCACTTTGTTAGGCTATATATTGAAAAATATAACGATTTATCTGAATTTTCTGAAAACGATGAAAGCAGACTATGTATCTACTGATGACCAACGTCTTCCTAAAATTAACAAGATAATCTAAGATTACAAACACTCGCAATGTGTGAAATCTTGAAGTAAACTGGTCCAGCAATTTTTGAGTTATGCACCTGAAAGGACACACACACCACACGCAGACACACACACACACACACACAAACACGTGCACACACAAACACGCGCTGTTACAATACCCTGCAACCCTCCAAATTTGAGGGTAAATATAGCTACAAAAAGAACATTTTTTTGATTGCTATCTTACATGTATAGTTTCGAGTGTTAGGCTGACATGTTAGTAGAAAAAGATCAAATTATGTATTTTTTATAATTTTTTGGATAAAAGAATAAATAAATTATGTTTATATTTACTACCTATAAAGCATATGACATAAATTTTATTTGTTTTGTACTCAGGGACAATTAAACACAAATGTGCCTGAATTTGCCCAGTTTGTCCGGTATTTAGGACAACGCTTCACCTCAGCACAGGTAAGTCAAAAGACCCCAAAAAATCCTGATGTAAATCCTCTTTTGGAGATTATCTCTGATACCATATGATTTTGTTAATTTTTATATTGTTGTTTTCAAATTGTTTATTGTATGTTTCATGTTTGGTATTGAAATAAATCAAATCAAATCAATCATGATCGTGAAGCTGCAAATGAGGAGGATGACTTCAAAAGCATGAGCATAATTATTATGCTTATGCTTTTGATGGTGATTGCAATATTTATAACAATGCAATATTTATAGCAAGGATGAAGATAAAATGGAGTATGTATTAGATATCAGAGCATTTAATGGCTTCCAAAAAAGATTGATTTTCTTAAGAATACAATAATATCAGTGCATGATCACAGTAGTTAAATACATACGATTTTGATTATAATGGTGTTAGCAACACAACTGAATTGTTTATATTTATGGTCCATAATGATAAAATTTTAATTATATCTTATTTTGAGAACCTGTCATCTGCCAATAATGATGATTTTTAGTAAAAAATATATTATTTTTTACCTGTTAGCACACCTGCAGCCATGAATAAAATGTTAAAAAATACAATATTCTTCATTTTTATCATGCTGCTACTGCCAGGAAATCTTCCAACCAAATGCATTGGTATTTATTGAAGGTGATTTTTAATGGCTATGATAATTAGTTATATTTATTTACCAATTAAAACGTAATGCTTATTTGCAGAACCTACAAGAGAAAATACTGTTTCGCAAGAACACTCTGCAAGTGTTTGGTGACTTGGTGAAGCTCATTCAGTTTGCTTTGAAGAAGTTTAATGCAGCAGGCGGTGAACTCAAGTGGTTATACCAAACCATAGGCTACACAGTCAGATATTGCGCCCCTGTTCTCTATGTTCAGGTATGGTCATATTTTTGTTACAAGTACAACGGCTTAACTGTAAATTCTAATTTTGAAGAATTAATTTGTAAATACATTGTTAAATCTAAATTTTGAATGATCATTTTTATGAATTTTAATTAATTTAATTTTTACCATAATGTTTTTTTGTGTGTTTGTTTTCAATTTTCGAATTGACATTTTGCCTGCGAATACCTGTTAATTCAGATTGCGTCCTGTTTTTTGTAAATGTTTTTTTTTTGTATTGGTCCAAATTTAGACAAGTATGTTTTAGGGGTATTTTTGAAACTAATATATAAGTCTATTTCGTGAATGCTCTGCTCAATAAACTTACTAATTCCCGCTGTTCTTGAAGACCCTTACAACAAAAATAGAACTGACCGTTTCCCCTCTACAATGGCCAAGGAATGCGGACATTATTAAAGGGCTTGGCCATGATAGAGCTGGAAAAGTCGGGTGATTCTATTTCTGTGGTTGGGTGTTTTTAAACAGTGGCAGTGATATATATTTTTGACACTTTATTCACCATTTAGAGCAAACCACACCAATCACAGTTGCCAGGGTTGCTGAGTGAATTACTGCTACCTCCGCTAATCTTCAACCCCAACAAGACACTGCCAACAAATATGCTGAATGCTATAAAAGAAACGCTACACTTGGTAAGCATCCAGGGAAAAAAAATTAGATTGAAGCCATGACTAAATTTCTCTTCTTGAAGCACTCTCACTTTCATTTTTAAGGACACATGGAATTTATATTTTTGTTTAAACTTATTAATTTGTATCATGTAAAATTGTATCATTTGTTAACCCAACTTTACTCTGTTTTTATCATCAGCTTCATATATTGCTAATTTGTAAACTTCTTGCTTAAACCCTCAATGAATTCAAAATAATAGGGATTTTCTGTAATTACATCATTGTTTGTTTTTTTACAGACTAGAGGCTAATTAGACTTGAGAAAAAGAAATTCATGAAATTAAAGAGCTCTTTATTTGGTTTTTAATTATTAGTTTCTAGAGGGTCTGTCTACGCTGGACTTTCAGAAAGATGGGTTCATTCGACAGAAAATGCAAGAAATCATCCAACAATATTTTGTTCGGTTTGCAACAGTGAGTAGAGAGTTGTAGTTGGTGATGATCTTATTCACACATTGCATGCACATTCATTGTTATTGTTACTATTAAACATATTTTAAAAACATTGAAACATATTTGTAATTAATCATTTTACACTGACTTGTATTTATTTATTTTTTTGGGGAAGGGTTTAACCTAATTAGCAGGAAGTACTCTCGTGCATGATACAAGCACTTCGTGTTTGTATTATGTATTTGGTTCCAGTACATAATACAAAAAAAAACATTGAACATTAAAACCAGGATAACCCATAAAGTAAAAAAGAAACAACTTATTTCCAATGGGGTCAAATACTTAAAAAAAATATGACATGACATTACATAAACAATTTAAATGCATAGCTATATAATATTTTTAAAATACAGTTGGAGAAACATGAGTAAAGCTAAGAATATCTGTCCAATTAAATATTACATAGCATGTGAATATATATATTATTGTACTTCTATATGATAAAAGATTAAAATTGAATAAAATGGCCTAGATTCTTTTTTACTACAAGTTTAAAATTGTTATTGATACCACGTTTTATGTTATTTTGTAAGTTGTTCCATACTTTGATACCACAGTATAGAAAGTGGTATTGTATTTATCAATTTCAGAGGCAACACTAAAATTCAATAGACTATTCCTAGTGTGGAAAATATTAATTCTTTCAAAGTGGTTAACAGTGTGTACCTACATATTCTGAAAGATCTTATGTATATGGGATAATTGTAATTATTTTACCCTTTTTTCAGTAGTTTAAATATCCAACAATATAATAAATTACCATTATTGTTGTTATTAATAAACCCCTAAAGGATTGTTACAGTCCAGGTGCATGTATCTGTGCATAATTCACCATACCACTTGGCACATCATTGTTCACTTCATAATACTATTGTAAGTTCAGGCAACTTTACTTTTTAAACTCGTATTCATAAAGTTCTAATATCTCATGAAGATTTATTATTCAGCATATTTATGTTTTTTTTAAATATATATGCAAATTATATTCGTAGAAATGCTCCATAATGGCAAATAGTAACAGTGTGACAGTTAATCATCCCTTATTGGTAAGTAATTAATGCTCTTTTAATATGTAATACCATATTTATTTGAATAATCATTCCAGGGTATTTATTGTTGAAGAGTTTTTGAGGAGGCATTTATTCAAGGGAGGGTTTTATTTTGTTCCATGTAAAATGGTACTCAACAAAAACTACAACACATATAGTAACCACCAAAATGTGTTATTTCATGATCATAAAGACATGGATCACAACATGGTTAGAACAAATGGAATTCTGCTGGAGTAGAACATTAAACAGAATATGTTAAGAATTATGTTGCTCTCATTAGATTTGTTTACAGTCGTTTAAAGGGGTGTTTATCTGAGGGAGGTGTTTATTTCAAATGAGGCTCTGAGGGGCTTCAGAGTTTTTTCAAAGCGGAGCATTTATTCAAATAAATACGGTAATTTGTTTATCCCCAGACAGGCTTTTAATAAAACTTTTATGTACGCATTTTTGATATAATGAGAATGTATACCAAACATTGATTCTGCGGTGTAATTATTTGCTTCACAAAAAAGGGATATCATGTTTTTTTATTTGTCTTTTAGACAAAGTATACAAGGTCTCACTTTATGTTGTTTTTTTGTTGTTGTTGTTAAATAATTAATGTTTTATACAATATATAATGGGTAAAAATTCTTTGTTGTAATCAAATACTTAAAATGGTTAATACACAATCAATACGTGTGAGTATAACCTTTTTTTTTTTTTTCAGTTTTAAATCGAAACACAATGTCATCAACAACCAGGGGCATGATTTACATTAAACTCGGTCATGGAGACATTGTGCCATAGAAATTTAAAACAAAAGTGAACATAAAGTGAAACCATATTAAGCTACTTTCTTTTTGACATGTGAAGCTCTGTTGGGACTATAACATTTTCTTTTGATAAAAAAACTGTTGTTATGCCCATATATGGTCATGATATCTTACTCACAACAAGAAGGAAATTACAGCAATTATATTAAGTTTGTTTTTTTTTCTTGTTTTTTTTCCTGTACAGTTTTAGTTTAGAATATTTACATCTATTCCATTATTGTATAAATGTTTTACCCAAAAAACTTATATTATTCATGACAGTATTGATTCTAATGGAACAAATAATTTCACATTTAGTTACAGTACCTCAGAGCACCTTTTTATTGTTATACTGTCCATGTCTCCCTCTAATGAAAAACCCCTCCAATTAAAGACCACTTTTCTGTGGTCCCTAATTTACAAATGTCTTTTATTTTCATTATCACCAGACAGGCTTTTAATAAAAATTGTATGTACTCATTTTTGATATAATGACAATGTATACCAAACATTGATTCTGCAGTTTAATTATTTGCTTCAGAAAAAAGTGGTATCATATGTTTTAATTTTTCCCCACAAATCGCTGGGTATACAAAGTGTCACTTTATTATGCTTTTTTTTTTGTTGCTAAATAATTAATGTTTCTAGAATATATAATGGGTAAAGGTTCTATGATGTAATCAAATAATTAGTTAAAAAATTAAAACACAACCAATACATGTGAGTATGACATTTTAGCTTGGTTTTTATTTTTTGATTGATTTAGAATTGAAACACAATGTCGTCAACAACCAGGGGCATGGTTTACATTAAACTCTGTCATGGAGACATTGTGCCATAGAAATTTAAAACAAAAGTGAACATAAAGTGAAACCATATTAAGCTACATTCTTTTTGACATGTGAAGCTCTGTTGGGACTATAACATTTTCTTTTGATAAAAAAACTGTTGTTATGCCCATATATGGTCATGATGTGCCTAAGTGGTCATGATGTGATGTCATCATGACCATATTTAGGCATGTCACATGTTTTTGTCGAATAAAATTTTGTAGTCTGGACAGCACTTAAAATCATACTCAAAATTTAAAAATAATTTATAATTATATCATTTTAATTATCTGTATACATTGCTAAATTGCATTCATGCAACAATGTAAGGAGATCTGAAGGATTTCAATTCTGTTAGAATTTTTAAAGCTACAACAGCTTGCCCAACCGAATGAACATGAGCTCAATGTAGCGTAAAGATACTTTCATTTAAAAATTAGTAACCTTCATTTTTTTTTTTTTTTTTTGAAGGCAGAATGTTTAATGTTATTGAATCTTCTTTTACAGTTCTGTACAATATAAACTGTGATAACAAAATTAGAATGTTTAATCTTTTAGGGTATATAATAATAAGCGAGCCATCAATTTATGCTCTGTCAATCGGTTTGTACATACATATTTTTATACTATACTTCTACTATAGAACAACCTATATTGCAATCGAGACAATTCCAGTGAAGCTCTATACAATCGCTACAATCTAGTGCCGACATGTTTCGGCAATGCTGATTGGTTGGTAGAATTGGGGAGACTTCCCGATTGCGTTGGGGACTGCTACGCAGTACAACGATTGCAATAATAACAATGTAGCGACAGTGTAGCGATTTTAAGGAAACTAGGCTTTAGTCGTACATTAGGATTAGGTAGGAATGCCCCCTAGAGGCCTAGTAGGTGCTATAGGAAGTTTTCATATGTCATTTCAATTATTTTTCCTTCACAATAAATACAAAACAGAAACACAAGTAGTAAATCTGCAAGGCAGGATTGCCAAAATGTTATCAAATATATAACAGTCAAAGTGGCTCTCCTCACAGAAAAACTAGACAACAAAGAGGATAACATCTTCGTATAATTATTTACATTTCATTACTTTTGCAACGTTATTAAAGGAATTTTATCAAGTTGAGGAGTCTAATTTTATTTTATTTATTCTGGACTAATATACTTAGAATGTTGATGAGTTGATTCCCGCAGCAGCCCATGTTTCTTTTCAGCACCTAGTTTGTTTCTATTCATTTCCTTTATGCATTAATTAAAATAGCCTTTCTTAAATTTAAATCTCATCCAACAAGTGACTTGCTTATAATTAGCTATGGGAAGTAGATTCACATAATTCATAAGTTGAAACCCACTTTTTGGCAGAAGAAGCATTCAAACCACTAAGCTATAATTTCACTCTAATTTTCACAGGGTATATTTAATTCAGGTTAACATAATACTGAGGGAAACATAATTTTATTTCTTCCTGTTCAGTTTTCAAGTACAAAGTAGCTACGACTCTCATTTACAAAATTACATTGTCATTTTGTCTTTCGTATACGTTGACGTTTCCAAACAATTCTTCGTTGTCTGCATCCGACTTAATAAGGCTGTTAATATTTTCAAAATAATAACCAGCATGGTATGCTGTAGCCTCATTTACATTTGGAATCATGTAACCACTCAGGTCAACGTCTCTTTGATAATTCATTGGAGCTTTTCGATGCCTGCCATGTCTTTTCTTGAGTAGATAAGCTGTAGCAAGTACAACAGATATAAAGATGATGGTTGCTGGTGCTGGCAGGATAATGGCTACTGTATGTTTACTTTTAAGTGTCATATCCATTTGAAAAGTTGAGGACTGGGAAATTGTGCTTGTGTCTGTTGGCAGCATGATATTTTTATCACTAAATTCAAATAATTCTGAGTGAACCTTCAAAGTTATTGTGTCGCAGGTAACAGTGGAGTATTGATCTAACACCGTTAAAAAACAGAAGAAGAATATACCATCTCCAGAATGGACAGCTGTAAAAGTATGATTAAGAATTATCTGATCATTATTCAAATCCTGTGACAGTGTAATATTATATCCTCCTTGGATCCATCCTATCGTGATTTCGTTTGTTATGGGCTTTATTAATAACCGATTCACTGTGCAAGAAATTGTTACTTCATCTCCTTCAACAATATCTCCCAAATCTTTACAGGTATCTTCGTTAACTGAAGACTGTTTTTCAACTTTGGGTGTGTAAACCAGAAAGTGTTCATTGTTATCATCTGTGCATGTATACATTCCTACCTCTTGTTCATTGAAAGATAAAAATAGTTGGCAATTGACATTAGTCAAGTTCATTTGAGGAGGATGATCTTTGTATACACTATAGTTCCTCTGAAAATGTAATGAAGATGCATTCTTTTCGATGATGGTGTAACCATGATTTCCGGACATCATTATCTGGAACTCTTTATTTGATGGCTTCACCATTAGTTGTGCTCCTTCTCCTCTATAAACCCACTTAACAAAACCCACAGCAATAACTTTTCTGGCAACCATCAAGGAAACCACCACTAAAAGAATGATGTTAGGAAACAGCATGCTCATCTTGTGAAATTCCTTAAGACTTCAAGTAGTAGAGACGACTGTATGTGCTGTTGTTGATGAATGATTGAAGCAAACTAAAAGAGTCCTTGTTGCCTATATTGCATGACTTGATATCTCAGTGTCATAATATTGTAAATTAGTTTCTATCTTACTCACAACAACAACAACAACAACAACAACAACAACAACAAGGAAATTATAGCAATTATATTAAGGGTTATTTTTTTCCTGTACAGTTTTAGTTTAGAATATTTACATCTATTCCATTATATATTTTATTCCTCAAAAAGCTTGAATCATATTATTCATGACAGTATTGATTCTAATGGAACAAATAATTTCACATTTAGTTACAGTACCTCAGAGGACCTTTTTATTGTTATACTGTCCAAGTCTCCCTCTAATGAAAGACCCCTCCAATTAAAGACCACTTTTCTGTGGTCCCAAATTAACAAATGTCTTTTATTTTCATTATCACCAGACAGGCTTTGAATAAAAATTGTATGTACTCATTTTTGATATAATGACAATGTATACCAAACATTGGTTCTGCAGTTTAAATATTTGCTTCAGAAAAAAGTGGTATCATATGTTTTAATTTTTTTCCCCACAAATCGCTGGGTATACAAAGTGTCACTTTATTATGGTTTTTTTTTTGTTACTAAATAATTAATGTTTCTACAATATATAATGGGTAAAGGTTCTATGATGTAATCAAATACAGTAATTAGTTAAAAGGTTAAAACACAACCAATACATGTGAGTATGACATTTTAGCTTGGTTTTTAT